ACCTAGAAGTAGAGCCGTCTTACAAGTATTTTCTAAAAATCTCATGATGGTTCTGGTGCTAGTTAAAACTAAGAACTGTCTTACAAAGAATTCCCTAAAAATCTCTTGAATTCTTATCTACTACAAATTTTATTCTCATATAAGGAGTTGATTTTTGATCAAGGAGCAACATTCCTCGAATATGATCAGGCAATTGAGACCAACTTTCAAACTCTATAGTTAATCCCGCTGATGCCAAATTTGCAAGTGTATCTGCAACAGAGTGAACTTCCCTATAAACATGCTTGAGCTTGTATTGCCTTCTTTCCAGGATTGCATCTATTTCATTGAGTGCTGCTCTGTTTCTCCAAGGAAAAATATTATGATTATCGAGCAAGTCAACTGACACCTTATTGTCTAATCTTACTTGAACATTCGGAAGGTGTTGTTCTTCACATCTCTTCAAGCCAGTCAGCATCATCTCAGATTTTGCTTCAAAACTAAATTTGACTCCTAAATGTTTTCCTTCGGTTGCAATAAAATTAATTTTGTCTTCTCTGATGATACATCTAATTCTAGCTTCTCCTGGAGCTCCTAGTGTTGATCCATCCAAATTTCAGTAGTGAAAAAATTGTCAGCTAAAAGTTTTGAAATTTAAGATCTTAATTATTCACAAAAGTAATGTAAATTAATTAATCACAATAGTATGACTTCTATTTATATGAAGGAGAAAGTGTACTAGTGTGTTCATTCAATCGGTTGGAAAAGTGTAAAACTGAGTTCTAAAACCACTTTGTAGAATTCGAATTCATCCAAAACCCTCAGTTTTGTCCTGAGCCCAAGCCTTGTCCGCTCACTTCTCCTTTGCCGTCTGATGGCTGTCACGCCAATTCCCTTCCCCCTAACATATTAAGCCTTTTCAAACCGATGGAACCTCCTTTGGAATTCGGGATACTTCTGTGCAAAAGCTTCCAAGAATTTTTATCCATGGAACCCTCGGGGAACATTGGACTTCTGGGCTTCAGAAGACCGTCGAGAGCAGTGATGGCTTTTGTCTAAACTTTGGTCCTTCGACCTAGAATGGCTTTGCTCTCTGTCCCCACGGTCATCCCGCTGATCTGCCCCTCGGCCGTCCCAAGGGTGAGACCGGCCCCTTCGAGAGGAATGGTCGTCGCCCCTACGGGACTCCTCGGCTCGTCCAACAGTGCAGTATGTTCAATCAGCATTGGCATCTCGATCTTCTTGAGAACGTTGAGAGCTCTCTCTCACCACCTCCGGTCTAACTAGGGGCCTCCAGCTGGTACCTTCCTCAGGCCTCGCCCTAGTGGAGACCATGACTCTCGTAGAGCGCTTGGGCTCGCCCTCGCACAAGTATAAGCCTCCCTACAGTCTGTGCCACTTGGAGAACGAAAATCCCGATGGCAGTGAGCCGACGGTCCCTCTAGGTCGTAGACCTGCAAAATCAGGGTTAACACTCCAAAGGCTAAGTTAGTATAGTGAGCCAAATTGATATGCGCATTCAATTGTAGAGAGAGAATAGTAAATGTGCATTAGCCCCTTGTAGTAAATGCATTGCACAATTTATAGATTCACAATTTGGTGTTGTACACGAGGTAGACCCTTTTTACCATTTGGCCAGTAAAGAGAGTAGGGCTAGGAGCCCAATAAACCCAAATGTATGGGTTTACAATCAGATAGAAAATTATAAAAGTATTTGGGCCTTATTACTTATTTCCTCCATCAGGTGCCTTACTCTTCTGGCCTGATTTCTCTGACGACCGATCAACATTCTTTGGGAGTTTCTTAGAACTACATTCAGCCAAACCTCCAGATTTGCGAGCAACCTTTGAAGAGGTTTTGGTTAACTTAAGTTTAATGGTCGATAATTGCAAATCCTTCTTGCAATTAGGAGAATTATAAGTATCAGAAGATTTAATCAAATTATTTACCGTATTCTAAGGGTTTTGATTATTCATCGTGTTCAAAACTTTCCTTATCAACTCCCATGCCGAGAAATCGTCCAACTCTCTGGCGGAGAAAACACCTATCTTCTTTAAGAATTGTTTTTCACTCCAGGACAATTCCACACTCGGAATCTCGTTTACCTCCAAATAATTCTCCCCTGAAGGAGCAGAAGACTCATATTCTTTATCGATGATATAGTAGTTGCAATCTTCTTCTCCAGACCAACAAACAAAGAACAAGGAGAAATCAACGATATGGTTAGGGAATTAATCGTCCTTCAATACATGATCATTATATATATATATAAGCCATCCCAAGTTTCCAATTTCCAGGTTGGAGTGAGGTTTTCAGGTTAAGTTCGATCGTTGTTTCCTAGTTTTGTATTTGTCAAGTTTACGCCCTTTCTTCAACTCCAAACTTTCCTTTTCCTACTCGGTTTAAAAGTGTTTTTCTTGTTTTATATAAATCTAAGGAATAAATCTTTCATAAAACCTTATTTGATTTCCGTCATACATCTGACAAATCTCATAATTAATGATTTACATCTTCCAAGTTCCAACCCGGCTCCCAAAAATACACAACTCTGCTCCCAAAAATTTTAGTAACTTCATGAAGATATTGCTTACTGATAAAGAGGCCAGAGGTACATTAGACGCGGTGTTCAAATGGGAAGATCTGCAAGCTAATTTGAAATAATGAGTTGCTAAGAAACTTAGGGAATTTTATCAATTGGGCTTTGGGTTGCATGGTAAAAGATCCAGGATATGGTTTCGCGATACATGATGCAGAGAATGTTGAATTACATCCTTTTAACTTAGGCTTTGGCAAGAAAAGTTGGTAATTCTATTTTGAAATATAAAGATGTTATGGAAAAGGTGAAATTGAAGCAAGGTTTGAAGTTAGCTATGTCCATTACAACATTGGGCAATGGATTTTTTCAAGAACATACTTTTGGAGACTTTCTGAGGGGGATCGAGCTGCTTGTTCTATAGATATATGAGAACTTATGCCAGAGTGGTATATCTCCTGTCCTCTTTTCTTAGAGCTTTTCATGCCATCTGTTTCTGCTGAGGTACTAAAATAGTTCCTGCCAAATTGCTTTTGCTTTATGATGCTGATACTGAAAGGGCCTCAATACCAGGGGAGTTATTGCCACAAAATTGGCACCCATGTTCAAATTTTTAAACAACGTAAAGATAACCAAATCAAAGATCTGAGGAGACCATTTGCTGGTACTTGAGACTGTTCAAATTAATAAAGAAGTTCAGACTTTCATTGACATCAATGTCAACCTCCCAAGATGAAGTCTAATTATAGTATCATTGGCACTTCCAGTTAAAGGTACCAATGGTTTCGACATCGTAGACACATTTAACTGTTGGGATTTCATGCTTCATAAATACAGTCCAATCACATCAGCTACAAAGATAAACTTTAGCTCCCTGCAAGTTTGTAATGCAACGTTAATTTCTCAAAAGAGCTTAGAAATTGTAGTTAGAGATCATGTTAACGATTTCTTGCAATACAATAGCTAATACCCAGGCTAAGATCAAAGCATCAGCAGGAATTATGCAACCTTAGTACTCAACTATAATGAACTAATGTAGAACATACATAAGCCTTCTACCATGATCTACAAGGCATGTATTTCATGAACTTCATTGAGAAGAAGAACAAGCTAGTTCAGCACTTTCTTTGCCAAGAAAAAGGGAAATGAAAAATATAAAATTTAGAATAAACATTCAACAAACTATGAAAGATTTCCCACCCACTATTTCATGAACTTAAAGGATCATATCTAGATAAAAACAAACATCAGCAAAAGGTAAAATAAGAAAATAAAGAAATCAATATAGTAGAGATCTATACGATTGAAGCTTATATTACTTCACTAACAATTAGGGCAACTCTTTTAGGGCCTCTACCACCTGCTCTCAATTCCCATTTTCACTAATAACTTGGTACATCTTCCAAAGGCCTACATGTTTACAATCAGTGCATGACTTTTACATATTCAAAAAGAGTTATTACATTTTCTATAGAAAATCCAAATAGCAATATACTCTCCAACATCTCACATTTTCTTTGATGGCATGACTTAAATTTTTTTTTTTAAAAAAAATCTATTTTTGTGAACCCGCTCATAAGTTATTTACGAAGTTATTTATGGGCGTCAGTTAATAGGTTCGAAGAAAATCAGCAGTATATCATAAATGTTTTCCATAATAGTTTGACCAGTTCAATTGTTGTAATGTGTGGTTATTGTTTGAATTAAGGAATTAAAAAGATCAATATCAATCCGTTAAAATGAAATATTGCCTTGATGACTAACCAAAATAGATGGTATTCAATAGTACGATATGTGTATGATCGTTGAGACAATAGCTAGATCCCAGTGAGAGAGGAGAGTGCAAAAATTCTTGAATAACCAAAAGCATGAGCCTGAGTGGAGAGACGCCAATAGTAATCTTCCTATATTAATTATCTGAAGAGGTTGTTGGCATCTTTTTATTTATTTATTTTTTTTGAACTGTTCCCCTGAAATGAATTAAGATTCTGTTTGTTGATGCTTGGTTGTGACTTTTTGGAAGATTGAATATTTTGGTGACTAGAACCTGTCCCTAAGAATCAGTTTATAAAATAATCTTTTACATATTGATTAGGAAGAATATGTACTGTTAAGAGATGCTACAAAGATTAATATAAGATGATTCTGCGAGTCTTAAAGACTACATCACTCAACATCATCAATAATAGAGTTGTGTCAATTATAGTAACTATCGAGACATTTGGGGAAGAAAACATTGATAAAAACAAACATAGCATCCATTAACAATATTTAAGTTTTATTACATATATGGATATAACTCAACTAAAGCGTTAACTATTTAAAATAGAAAAGAAAGAGAGAGAGAGAGAGAGAGAGAGAGAGAGAGAGAGAGAGAGAGAGAGAGTGAGAGAGAGAGAGAGAGAAAGAAACAAATATTACAACTTCAACTGGATATAAATAAGTACAAACTGATAATAGAAATTATTCAAAAGCTTTATTAAGACGACTACTCCCAATACATCGATTGAGGCTCATTGTCATCATCCTCGATATCAGAATCAGGTTCATCAAAAGGTTTTTTGGGGACAACGAAGGTGACCAATACTTCATGGATGTTGTGGGGGGTCTTTCCTCGGAGCACAGGAATTTTCACCCTTCCCGGAAGAGGAAATGTGATACTAAACTGACCAACAGCATAAGTCCGACGCATGCCACGACGAACCGCAGTAACCTGGCCAACACGACCCTCACTGACATCCACAATTCCTTTAACGTGCAGACCCATCTTACCTCTTGTCCTCTCATACTCCACAAATGCTGCAAATTTGAAAAATTAACTAATTAAACACCAAATCTACTACATTAATTTCTATTTAATAATTATGTGAAAATGTCCATTTGGGTCATTTATAAAAAATGAATGGTAACTGATTTAAATAAGTTAACTTACCCAATCCTTCGACACTCTTGCATGGGACCTTGATCTTAATGTAATACATGTGAGGGAAGTTCATAACAAGCACTGGCCTTGGCACAGCGTCAGCATGGCTCGCCATTCCTGTTACCTGAACTGGTGGACAAAAAACTTGCACACGTTGTGGTGCTTGCGGCTGCACCTGCGGTTGCATTGATGGTGGTGCCACTGCTGCCACCAATTCGTTGTTGCTGGTTGCAGCTACATCATTGGTATTAGCATAATCAACACTGGCACCACGAGCTGGAACAATACTACTATTGGCAGAAATTTCATTCTCCATGGAATTGAGCTGATAAAAGTAACCATGAAGAGTAGAAGTAACTCACTATGCCCCTAGCGCTAGGTGTTATAATGGTGTTATAATGGAGCTATATTTGGTTAAGGTCCACATTGCTTGCATGCAAGAAATATATTTGACAAGTGTCTCAATTGATTGACAAGAGTAAATGTCACGTGAGAAGTGGTTAAGGTTGGCATGTTCTTCAACCAATTGTCTTTTTCTCATTGAGGTCAATATGGGATACTTGGTTATGGTTTTTCAGATGTATTACACATGTAAGGGTTGGCCTAGGAGTGTTGGCAAGACCTGTCACCATAAAACAAAAACAAAGCAAAACATGAATTTTGAGTAATTTTCTATGTGCAAGTAAAATTAAACGACATGACTATGCATGAGTACTGAGATTTATTGCAAAGTTATACTTGCAAAAATTACACATACCAATTTCTAATAAGTACTTAAAAGGTTTTGGCAATGAAAAAATTGCAAACTAAAAGATAAAACATTTAACATCTTCGTTATTGACAAAAGTGATGTAAATTAATTAATTACAATAGTATGACTTCTGTTTATATGAAGTAGGAAGTGTATTAGTGTGGTCATTAAATTGGTATATGAAGGGTATAAAAGTGAGTTCTATAAACAATTTGTAAAAGTTGAATTTATCTCTGAAACTTCTTATAGTACTTGTAAGACTATTTTTTTTAATGTATTTAGCGCACACATACCGAGATAAACACGGTGGAACAATGTATTAAAGAACTTAATAAACTTTGAAGTGTTTTACAAGAAATATCGAGTCTAAGACTCAACAAAGCACATCTATAATTTCACACAATAGTCCCATTTCCCAATGATTTTGTTTTGTGAGAACATGTTGTATTTTGTTGAGATTGTTAGCATACATATCTGTGTAATAAAGACCATAAGAGTTTATTAAGCTTGATACATTGTTAGATCAGGCGTAGTTATTTTTATTTCGTACAAAGGGGTTTCAACACTCAATGAGAGTTCTATAAAGACTATAGAACATGTTCACATTTTATTTGAGTCAAATTGTCTTTTTTTAATTCTAGAAAGCAATAATGTGATTATATATATATATATATTTATCTATATCTATATATATAGTATGTATACTATATATATATATAGTATATAAAGAGTCACAGTTTTATATCATTCGCTCTGAGAGATAAAATTTTCAATAATTTACTATCATTGACTAAGATGCCAGTAATGGTAACACGAAAAAAAATGTTGAATCTTATTGACATTGATATCAAGCTGTCAAAACTCCCGATAGGAGATGCACCTAAAGTAATAGCAGCACTATCAGTTAAAGATACCAACAGTTTCAAGAATGTATGTCGAGAAACCTGTGAAAATTTTTGAATGAAAATTAGAAAAGAATAAAGTAAAATTTGCAGTCTCACACATAATAAATAAAAATTCTTGAACTAAAATAAGAGTACTAGCCACTATTATAGTGACTAGGACATCTTACAAATTTTGGAAAAAAAATGAAAATAAAAGAAATTAAAAAAAAAACTTGAAAACTTGAACTAGAATGGAAGAAAGAAAAGTAGGTAGCTGATCCAAAGCTCCATGAGATGATGATTGAAGCCTACCACTACTACCTTATTCGTAGTAGTCTTTCCTTAACCGAAAAAGTCAAAGAAAAAAGGTACTAAATATCAATTCTCAGATCAGCTCCTATATATATAACCAAATAGATGTGGTTGTTGCTGTAAATCTTTTACCAAATCAATCAAGAAATTCGGAAGTCGAATCCTGGATTGTTTGGACTTCACTTCCAACAATTTATCTGCTGCAGTAGATTCTTTTCAGCTACCGACTTTAGCTCCTGACTTTTGTGATGTAATTGTTACTATTGATTATATTATCAATAAATAAATTGGAGGGAAGGTGCTAAGAAACTAGGTGGTATTCATGTCCATCCCTTGGGTATATCCCTTGGGTGCGTGGTATCATCTAGCACTGGCTGATGCAGGGAATAGCTCTTGGGTAGACCCAATGAGTATTTACTGTATCAGCTGGGACCTGAATGCCTTTTCATCCTTTCTTTCTTTTGCTTAAAAAAAAAGATTCTTTTCAACTCAAGTCTTCTAAATTTCTATATCCATAAAACTTCCTAAACAACTGTAGAAATCCAAAACATTCAATCTTTTACTTTTCTCTACCTAAAATAAAATAATAATAAAATCTATTAATATCTTAGAAATATGATCAAAACTTAACCATTAACATTATAATAAATAGGATTTTATTATTACTATCATATGCTCTATGAACGGTTGGGATATCATGCTTCAGAAAAAGTACTCCAAATTCTCCCATCCAAAAAAGAAAACGCTCATATTCCTACAACTTAGTAAGGGAACATGTTATAACTCATTAAATTGATTAGATAGTAACATATGGATCATGTTTTCTATTTGTAATATAAACGATGATCCCATGTTAAGATCAACAGCATTTGCAGAAAGAATGCAATGCTAGAAATCAACTGCACCATAATAAATATAACACCGACGACAGCCTTATCCCAAAACTACTAGGCAAGTAGCTCATGAACTTCTGTGATCAAAGTGAAATGCGAAAAATAGAAGCACAATAAAAAAGATTAAGGGAAAGAGCTTTCCTAACCATGACAAAGGGAAATGTAAAAAATAGAAGTACAATAAACATTTAACAAGCAGTAAACTACTTTCCATCCATGAAAACATTATGAGTATATCCAATGACATTTCACAGGATAAAGTTAACTTCTATGTGACTATAAGTATCAAATTACTTCACTTGAGATTAGGTCTACCATTTTAGGGCTGGTATTGCCTGCTTAGAATTCTACACTTTCATGTGCATATATGTTAATATTCGCTACAATGAGCATGCATGCTAAGAATTTTTCTTACGTACAATAAGGCATGTATTCCATGAACTTTAATGAGCAAAACAGAAAAAAAAAAAAATGGCTCAAGAGAAAAGAACTTTCATCACCGAGGCAAAAGTAAATGAAAAATAAGTACAATTAACTGTTTACAAACTGTGGACCACAATTCCTGTTTATTAAAAACAAAACGAGTATCTACACTGATTTTCTAGATACTAAAGATTATTAAATTTAAAGTCAGTGTAACTGTAAGCAAGAAATTACTTCATGTGAATTAGGTTAACCCTTTTAGCCCCAATATTGCCCGCTCTCGATTCTCCATTTTGCCAATAACTTGCTACATCTTTCACATGCATACATGTTAATAGTCACTGCACAAGTTTAACAACTTCAAAATGAACTTTTACACTATGGAGGAAAAAATAATATCTAAAAATATAGCTATTGTACCTTTAACATTTTATTTCTAAACCAAAATCAAAGTGAATTACCTGACAAAGTGAATGACCTGTATATAAGTCTCAACCTCATAAACTACTAACAACTTGGTTTAACCATTTTGGGCTAGCGAGGACAAAAGCCTAAAAGGTGTTGGGCCAGTCTATGAGGCAGGGATGTTACAAATGGTATCAGAGCGGACCCTGGTCTAGGAGCTAAGTGCTACGTGCAGACACACCTCTGAGCCCACTGTCGGGACCAGTACAAAGACACCTCTGAGCCTGCAGACGGGACAAGTGCGAAACACGGAGCCACCTCTAGAGTCCTATTCCGGGGCAAGACTGGGCCACATTTTGCTTGTTGGGCTTTGCAAGGACGCAAAGATCCTAAGGGATGGGCTGTAAACTCCTGTCCCACATTGTTACCTAACAAAGTAAATGACTTATATATAAGTCTTAACCTCATAAACTACTAACATATTGGGTTAACCATTTTGGGCTAGCGAGGACGAAAGGCTGAAAGGTGTTGGGCCAGTCTATGAGGCTAGGATGTTACAGATGGTATCAGATCGGACCTTGGTCTAGGAGCTAACTGCTACGTGCAGACACACCTCTGTGCCCACTGTCAGGACAAGTGCAGAGACACCTCTGAGCCTGCAAACGGGACAAGTGCAAAACACGGGAGCCACCTCTAGAGTCCTATTCCGGGGCAAGACTGGGCCACATTCTTGCTTGTTGGGCTTTGCAAGGACGCAAAGATCCTAAGGGGTGGGCTGTAACATCCTGTCCCATATTGCTACCTGACAAAGTAAATGACTTGTATATAAGTCTCAACCTCATAAACTACTAACATCTTGGGTTAACCATTTTGGGCTAGCGAAAACGAAAGCCTGAATGGTGTTGGGCCAGTCTATGAGGCTGGGATGTTACAAAGTGACTATTCTTACTCTCCCGAGTGACAAATCAGTTCAGCTTATTCTTCTTTGCTTGCACATTAATCAGATTTTAAGATGTTATCTGTTGTCTCTGTGGAACGATCCTACTTACCACTAGCTAGTAGTTTTTAGTAGGTATTTATTTCTTTTGGGAGTGTCAACGACTCATTCAGTAGCAGACCCACTTTAGCTCTTGTCCTCACATACTTCAAGAGTGCTACAAGTTAGAGAATTTAACTAATTATACACCAAATCTACTGCACTTATTTCTGCTTAATAATTATGCGACAATGTCCATTTGGGTCATTTATAAAAATTGAATGGTAACGAAATTAAATAAGTTAACTCACTCAATCTTGCAACACTCTTGCCTGGGACCTTGATCTTAACATAACATATTTGAGGGAAGTTCATAACAAACACCAGTCTTGACTCAGCATCAGCATGGCTCGCCATCCCTGCTACACAAACTGGTAAATAGAAGACTGGCACATATTGTAGTTGTTGCGGTTGCGCCTGTGGTTGCATTGGTGGTGGTGCCACTTCTACCACCAATTTGTTGTTGGTGGTTGCAACTGCAACATCATTGGTATTATAGATGAACTAGCACTAGCACCACCAGTTGGAACAACGGTATTATTTGCAAAAATTTCATCATCCATGGAATTCTGCTGATAAAAGCAAGCATAAAGCGTAGAATTACCCAACTAT